AGTGCGGATCTACATGGAATATTATGAGTGCTTAAGCACCCATTATTTATTTTTTTTAAATCAAATTTAGTAGATTTATATAGGCAATTATTTATTTTTTAAAAAAAACATTGTGTGAACATCCATAACTAATTTTTTTTTTCCTCTTCTTTTGAAGTTTTTTGGATAAGCACCCATAATTTAAAAAATCCGGGATTACACTGCCTAGAATTAACCATTGGGTTCTTGACCAGTGAATAACTTTGACCTTAGAATATTAGCTAAGTGGTTGATACATCACTGTTAATGATTACATGGCACCAATGGATAGAGATAAATTTCAATTGACCAGCCGTCCAACATAACATAATACTATCGTCATGAATAACAAGAAATACAATGTGCATTCTCATATGATATGTTCCACGTATACTGGCTCTTTGACTTTGGCAATCACGTCACTTAGAAACAAAAAGTAGTTTCTTAAAGTAGAGTTTAGTTTCTTTTGACGGGACTTAGTAAATGACTCTTTAGGAGCAGTTCTAGTCTTCTAGAAGGTTAGGCTGAATAGATTCTAGCGCATGCTTTTGTCTAACAACATCCATTCCCACTCTTTGAAGAATTAATATGTTCAGTAGAAGTGGATGCATCAGTTATCAATCTTCAGTTACATCTTCCGGCCAACTAATCACAGGTACTATATGTCAAGAACAAAATTTTATAGCAATTTCTTTTTTCTTTTAAATTATGCCGATTTTTTTAAATACGTCAATATATCTTTATTGTAATTTGTATATCAACACTTAGTGAATCAAACATAAGAAAGTGTCATGGTAATGGACAATTTCAAGCACACATTATGCTTACCGAGTATCTTAGGACATGTTCAATAGATAATGAGGTATGTTATATCTGCCGTAACATGTTTTCTTACATGGTCAATTTTATTTTGCTCTTTCACGAGAAAGATTAGCAGTGACAATAAGAATTTTGGTGATGATAGAGCAACCAAAATAGATGTGAAAAATGTACACCAAGGATATTGTTTATATGAAAGACGCATTAGGTGAGCTACATTTCATTACATATTTTGTACATCATAAAATCAAAGTCAGCAAAAAGTCACACGTCTAAATAAATATTTATTGCTGATTTTTGTAGTTTAGATAAGAGGCGGACCATGAATTATAATTTTATGGGTTCATGACATAGGTATCAACCGTCGAACCTATTATCATACTTATTTGAGTTATGGGTTCATAGTTCAATATTTTTAGCAATTTTAATAAGTTCTAAACAGATAAATTTAAGTCTAGGCTAAAAGTTATGGGTTCAAATAAATCCACATATTGGTTACTAGATCTGCCCCTGGTTCAGATAATATTCAATCATCTGACCTCAACAAATAAGTAACCATACATATACCAATACACATTATTAATCACACTACACTAATCGTGGGTTACATGACTAGGCATACACGTGTCGAGCAACTAATATACTAATAAATGCACCTAGAAGTTTGGCACGATCCGAGTTTTTCCTCCGTGAACTGTTGTGATGGTACCTAGTCTCTACGACTAGGTAAGCCTAACAATTTGCGAAAAAAGGAAACGAAAGATAAAACTAGCCAAAAACTGCGGATAAAACATAAATGAAACGTTTAAGATGCCGTTTGGCATATACAAATATAAACTCTCCAACTGAAACAACTCCCAAAACCCAGAATCTCATGAAATCACAAGTTGTTGAATAACTACAAGTATTCTAACTCCAGAATATCTAAACAAAACTAAATACAGGAGAGCTAAAGCTAACTAGAGGGAAGAATAGAGAGGGACTCCTCGATCTGCGAACGCGGCAGATATACCTCGAAATCTCTAAAGATTGCCTCGCCTCACTAATGGTATGAATGAGCCCAAGAACCTGGATCTGCACACGAAAAATATGTGCAGGAAAGGGCATGAGTACACCACAGCGGTACTCAGTAAGTGCCAAGTCAAACCTCAGTCGAGTAGTGACGAGGAAGGTCAGGGCCCTACTTATTATAGAAGAAAAACAAGGTAAAGAAGTATAGAATACGACAATATAATTAAAGTGCTAACAGTCTATAACGAATAAAAACACAGAAAGAATCTAACTCAATAAACAGAAATAGCAACAGGGGATCTCCCGGGATACCGTCCCGTAGTCCCAAAAGTAAATGTCCAGAGGATCTCCCGAGATATCGCCCCGTAGTCCAAATCATAAATGTGCAAGGGAAACTCCCGGAATACCAATCTGTAGTCCCAAAGTAAATATCCAGTACGGAAAATCTACTGGGTGCTGTCCAACAGTCCCAATCACAAATGAGTAAGGGGATCTACCGGAATACCGATCCATAGTCCCAAAATAAAAAGCAGGAGGATCTCCCGGGATATCGTCCCGTAGTCCCAAAGTAAACACACAACCATCTCAGAAAAATAAACAGTTCTATTCAAGAATTAGATAGGAATTTCTACTCTAACATGCTGCACAGAGTACAAGTAGGAAATTAAAGCAGGTAAGACAATTAAGTCACGTAGGCATGCTTTTCCTAATCTAAACAAGAGGCTTTAAGTACAAGTATTTGCTAAATCATAAGAAAACATAGGTATTAGCTTATTGAAAATGAGGTTTTCAACAATTAGCACGTGTACGCACTCGTCACCTTATGTACACGACACTCATATAACAAAAATACCAAATCCTAAGGGGAGTTCTCCCCACAAGGTTAGGCAAGCCACTTACCTCGAACCAACTCAATCAACTTGAAACCACATTCTTGCCACGAGTACCCGACTCCAAATGACCCAAATCTATTCAAAGTAATTTCATAGTGAAAATATAACTTCAAGTAACTAATTTAACTAATGAATTCAAAGCTAACACGTGAAATTAAGAAAATCACCCAAAAAGTCCCCCGGGCTCACGTCTCGGAATCAGATAAAATTCGCAAAACTAGAATCCTTACACTCTCACGAGTTCACACATAATAAATATATAAAAATCAGACCACAAACCACCTCTTAAATCCCTAAATCGAAGTCTCCAATTTCAAACCCTAAACCCCCAATTTTAACCCTCATTTTCCATAAATTTCTTGCCAAATCAGTAGAATAATACCATATAAATGAGTTTTGGTTCCAAAACTTTACCTCCTAGAAGTTCCCTTGAATTCTCTCTTAAAAACCTCCCAAAAAGCTTCAATCCCAGGTGAAAATGGTGAAAGATAGAGCTGAAATTGCAAAGGGACCTTTATATAGCTTCTGGCCTAGGATTTCCGCACCTGCGGCCTTTTCCTCGCACCAGCGGACCCACATCTGCGGTCCCAGGTGCGCATCTACAAAAATCGCTTATTGAACTGGGGCCGCACCTGCGCTTCACTTACTGCACATGCGGTCAGGTGCGCTCAACCTCTCGCATCTGCGAATTCTGGTCTTCTAGCGGGCCGCATCTGCGGCTGCTCCCAATTCTTCCGACAACATCCCGAGTCCCCCGGGGCCTCAACCAAAAATACAGACAAGTCATATACCACTATTAAAACTTATACCAATCTTCGAAACACTTAAAACAACATCGAATCATCAAAATACCCTCGGATTCAAGCCTAAGGGTTCCAAAACTTCCAAATTCCGCTTTCGATAGAAAAGTCTATTAAACCTCGCCCGAATGACCTAAAATTTTGCACACACGTCCCAAATGACACCACGGACCTACTCAACTTTCTAGAATTCCATTCCGATCCCTATATCAAAATCTTGCCATCGAACCGAAAACTTCAAAAATTCAACTTTCGGCATTTCAAGCCTAAATAAACTACGAACCTCCAAAACACAATCCGAACACGCCCCTAAGCCCGAAATCACCCAACGGAGCTAACGGAACTGCCAGAATTCCATTCTGAAATTGTCTTCACACTGCTCCAACTGCGGTCCAAATTGTAAAGCTAAAGCTCTCATTGAGGGACTAAGTGTCCCAAAACACTCCGGAACTCCAAACGAATCCTCCCGGCAACTCACAAAAGTAGAAATAAACATGGGAAAAGCAGTTAATAGGGGATCATGGCGTTAATTCTTAAAATGACCGGCCGAGTCGTTACATCCTCCCCCTCTTAAAACATTCGTTCGTCCTCGAACGAGCATAGAGACATACCTGAAGCAGTGAAAAGATGAGGGTAACAGATGCACATATCCTGCTTGGCCTCCCAGGTCGCCTCCTTGACCGACTGAACCTGCTACTGAACCCTCACTGATGCAATGTTCTTTGACCTCAACTTTCGAACCTTCCTGTCCAGTATCACAACTGGCTCATCAACATAAGATAGATCCTTGTCCAACTGTATTGAACTGAAATCCAACACGTGTGACGAGTCACCGTGATAGTTTCGGAGCATCAAAATATGAAATACCAGATAAACTCCTGTAGACATGTACTTTTTGACCCGCGCATTAGAATTACCTTTAATAGTCCTAGTATTTTTAGGATATTTATTTGAGTTTATTTCTATAGGATTTTACTTTATTATTAATTTTAATTCTATTTTAAGGCAAAAATTGAAAGAAATACAAAAATAGTTTCATGTTTTATTCTATTTCTATTTAGTTTAGGTTAGAATATTTTTATAGTGGTATTATTTTAATTTTACCATAACTTTAACGTATTTTTTATTTTATTTTAATATGATCTTTGAAAAATACCAGAAATAGCTTCATGTCATAGTATAGTTGGTTTTAATTAATTAAGAGTGATTTTACAATTTTATAATAAATTATTTTAGAAAGGAAATTAATTTTTAGCCTTGTAGCATTAAAAGGCCACTTTTAAAAGGCAATTTTACCCCAAATTGAGGCCCAATTTCGGATATTTATAGGCCCAAATCTGGGCAACCCAATCCCCTCCCCATGCAATTGAGCCCAATCCCCTTTGACCCGCCTGACCCGCACTCAGCCATTTTAAATCTCAGCCTTATATTCCACTCTAATCCAAGAGCCCACAATTAATTCCCCAACCACATAAAACCTTGCCATTTGCTAATCCTAACCCTAAAGACTCAACTCCAAACGGCGCTCCCTTTCTCCTCCACCTTTGCCCGCCCAAAACCCACCAAAAATTCTAGAATCCGGCCAGTTCCACGTGTGTATGGTTCCCCCTCCCCTCATCTCTCACATCCATGTCATCAAAATCTCAACAAAATCTGACAACAGAGAATATTCTCGTTCCCTCACGCGATTTGCTTTCATCTTTTGGAAGAATTTTGGAAAGAATGGGAGCCGTAGGATTTGAATTACTAACATCCTATCCTTCCATTTTATCCAAAATTAGTCGAAAAAGAGCAAAAATAGGAATTTTTCGGATTGGTTGGCTTGGAGAGCAAGCATGGATGTTTCTGGAGCTTCTATATATTTGGGGCTCGTTTCCAAACCAAGGGGGATTTGGGGACAGAATTTTGAGAGAAGATCTGGATAGAAAAAAAGAGAGGAAAAAAGGAGAGATAGGTTTTGAGGGATTTCTTGACTCTTCAATTTCTGATTCTAAGTTTTTCTTACTTCTTTCCAGAATATATATATATATATATTTTAGATTCTTTTCATTTCGGATTTTCTGCTTCAAAAATAGAGTTCGTTTGAAATTTGAAGATTGATTTAGTTTGCCGCCGAGATCGAGTTTTCCTGCGCCGTTCGAGTCTTGCTACTGGTTCGCGGTTCCTAGTTTGAATTTTTGTTATTTTTTTGCTGGGATTTTGGATTCAAAGCTCTATAGTCAACCTCACTTCTATTATCAAAGAAAGATTCAACTTCAGGTTCATCTCTTTACTCCCTCTGAACTTGTTATGGTACTGATCGGAACTTGATACTAATCAGGATTTTATTGGTATGTAAAATGTTTGCTAGTTTGTTTGGTTGGAATTAGCATGTGATTCGATTCCCTCATGAATCATGAGGATTTTATATTGGTTCTGATATGTTTGAGCGAAACGAATTAGTAGTATGGATGTTTGAATGAATATCTAATTAATGACACATTCCTTATGATCGTCATGAGTGTCTTCCTGATTTTTGCCGGTTTCAGCGTGAAATAAGTGCTGGAATTCCTTTAAAATTATTCTTGCTATTGATTCTGCTCAATCTTTCAAAGTTATGCTGCAACTTCTTGCCTAAAGCGATCTGGATGAGGTTCTTTGGGTGTTAAAATAGTTTTTAAGTCATGCTAATTTTTAACTATTTTAGCATCGTTAGTTTTATGTCAAAAGATAGTGTCTAGAGGTGTCATGATACAGTCTAAATGGACTTGATTCCTTGTGCTTGGGTGCTGCTGCTTTGGTTCTTAAAATTCGACAACATTTAATTAGGATACAAGTTTATTTGTTGTTATTTTGTGTTGATCAACTTTCTACTGTATTGAAACTCTGCTAGCTCACTTTTGAAGTAGGTATTCTCTTAGTAAATTCTCTTTGTGGTTACTTAAAATATTTGCATCGTTCTGCTAATTGCATAATTTGGGTAGGAATTTGATTGATACGTACTGCGAAGGTTCTAAATGAGGAAATTGCTTCAGTTATAAGATAATTATTTATTATGTCTAGAGATCTATGATATGCATTTTAATGTGTTGCACTTTATCTATCTTCAAATCAGAAGGGGGTAAGGCACAAAGAGGGGTACGCTAGTATAATACAACTCTTATCATACTTGGATCCATTCTCCTTATTTTATTTATTAGCTTTTTCTTTATTTCTTCATTTGTAGTTGTTCGACGCCTACTTGTTTGTGCTAGTTATACGTGAATTTTTTGTTGAATGAATGATTTGGGACGTGGGAGTTGGGAAAAAGACTTGGCCCATTAGTGTTAATTTGCTTACATATTTAGGAATTGGGCTTGGTCTAAATACATAAAAATGATAAGTTAAAAGAACATGACCCTGAGTCGAATTTATTTTAGTTTTTCTCTTATTTACTTATTCTCATTTTATTTGCTAGGAGCATGCTAGGCCGTCAACACTTGGTTAGGCAAGCCTTATGATTTTTGTTAGTTTCGAGGTGAGAGGTCGTTCCCTTAGTTAAATTTATCCGGTGAATGCCCCGAAGGATTTGTATATATTTTTATCCGGGGAATGCCCCGTAGTACTTGTATTTGTAGGCCAAAAGTAGAGCTTGTAGTATTTTATTTTTATTTTATTTTTCTTTTATTAGGTGGGGACGACCTCGAGCCCTTTTGTGTGTTTATTTTTCTGTGTTTGATTTACCTCAATTCGAATATTCTGAAAGGCGCCTAGATCAAGTGTGCAACCGTACTAGTTACGGGACTTGGAGAGTGCCTAACATCTTCTCACCGAGTCAAATGAACCCCCTTACCTGAATCTTTGGTGTAGACTTAATTTTGGAGTCTAAAGTGTTTTAAAGGAAAAATCATGTTCTTAAAAAAAACTGTGACCCAACACACCGAAATCAAAATCAGGTGGCGACTCTGACTTATTTCCTTTTGAACACAATTTTGTCACTTTTTTTAGTTAAAAACCCTTTTGAGATTTACAAATCCTTTCTATTATTTTTAAGAGGGTTAGTGAGTTTTTTTTTAAAAAAAAGGGTGTGACAGCTCTGACGACTCTGTTGGGGATTTGCAGGTTCGAGCTAGTACTTGATATTGTTGGCTTTTTAGGATATTCAGTTGAGGTTTTTATGTGTTTTGTTTGCTTTATTTGATTTTTATTTTGTTTATGTCGTTTTATTTGCTAGTTGCTTATTTGTTTACAATATTTTCTTTATGTGTTACTGCTTTATAAATTATCATCATTTGCATAACCCCGAGTCTTCTTTCTGCAACAAGTCTTCGGGAGTACATTTGAGCATACACGACCTTTTTGTGAGTCACCAGTGTCTTTAGGGGGTGGCGTGGGAGCGTGGAGTGGGCGAACAGTTAGAGCAGCCGCCATCGACCACGTGCCGCCCCGAATTGCCTTGTCTAGTGAACCCCAACCGTAGGTCAGCCTTTAGGTCATGCTTATGTGCATCATATCATTTAAACCTAGCAGGGTTCGGTCCCAGGCATCGTTTTCCGTTATAGGAGGTCTATCCAAATTATGCCAAAAAAATATTTAATCATCCCTATGTGCTACATGTTGTATCTCTTTAGGGGTAAAAGAGTCATTTGGCGGACCAATGATATTTGAGGGTGGAATATAAAATGAAGCAAGTAGGGCCCACTAACATTTTTCTTTCATAATTTTCCAAAAAAAAAAATCCAAAAAGATTTTACATTTTTCATCATTTTTCAAAGAGACAAAAATAGTTTTTCCAAACTAGTTGCATTTCATTTTAAAGCTTTCTTCTATGTCCGATCTTCCCGAACTACGCATACTTGATTCTCGTCTTTCGGGGCGGGATACGTAGTCAACCTACATAGGGTTCGGCCTTCCTAGTAAGTCTTAGGTTCTTGGCTTTGCGGGGTCTTGACCAAATTTTGCATGTTTAGCCACTTTTGGCTATATCGGCCATTCCTGCAAAATGAGGTCATTTTCGCAAAAGTGGTCCAATTACCCATGTCTTAGAATCTTGAGTCCAAAACTAGGTGTCATATTACTTTGAGGTTCGTCCTTTTCGAGTTTGAATCTTTAGCCACTTCTGGCCATATCGGTCGTTTTTGCAAAATGGGTCATTTCTGCAAATTAATTTTGGGCCATGATTATTGGGAGTTTGAATACATATAAGCTTTAGTGAGGTATTTCCATGTCTTTGAGGTCACCTTTGTTGATTTTGCACTTTTAGCCACTTTCGGCCCCTCAGGCCATTTTGCAAAAATAGCCCAACCGTCCCCTAGGAAATGTTGTGGTGTCACATAATATCTTGAGTCATTAACTATGTTTTCCCCATTCAGGTATGGATCCACTTACCAACACTAGAGTATCAATGGTGGTCAAAGTCCCTAGAAGGCTAGTAAAATGGTGGAACATGTTCACATTACATGAGTAGTGTGATATGATGGGTAAATTAGGGACTCTTATTTCTTTGATAGACATCACCCCCGTCCCGACCTTGTAGAAGCAATGTTGACATTTTGGGACCCATAGAGAATGGTATTCAAGTTTGGGGATCTTGAGATGATACCCACCTTAACTGAGATAGCCGGGTTAACTCGCCTGCCATACCTAGACAAGGATTTGATTTACACAAGGGCTCATTCAAGCACCAAGTTCCTTAAGATCATAGGGATGGATTTAAAAAATCACATGGGATATCTAGATCAATCTTGGGTACCTTTGGACTTTTTATTCGAGAGTTTTGCTCATCCTACTAGGTATGAGACCTTCGTAGATGAATTTTTCATATCATATGATTCTTGGAAGAAGAGGCATCCTATGGTCTTCGCTATTGCATTGTTGGATCTCTTGGTATTTCCTTTGGAGGGTAGACATATTAGCACGCATCTGGGGTTAATAGCCTTTGCACCTTTCCATGATAAACACAGTAGTAAGGTCACTTTGGTTCTGACAATTTTGGTAGAGATATATCGTGCTTTGACTAGGATTTGAGAAGGTGAGAGGTTCTTTGAGGGAAACAACTAGTTGCTGCAGCTGTGGATGATGGAACACTTACATCCCACCACCATGTTTGAGAAAGATGTGATTGACCGTTGTCTGAGAGATCGAGTGAAGTGCATCGAGCATAGAATGATGTTCGATAAGTTTTCCTTACCACTCGGAGTTCAGGCTTGGGTTGATTACTTAGGATCCTTGACTGAAGAGAAGATTTTGTGGTCATACCTTTGGATTGATTTGGACGTGATCTTAGCAGGATCTCGCGTGCAAGACTTCTTGGTACTAATTGGACTTTGGTGTACTAGACCATATACCCATGCTAGAGTGATGCGTCAGTTAGGGAGGCAGCAAGAAGTCCTCTACATTCCTAATTCTCGTGACTTCATTAGGGAATTTGACACTATGCCTCACAGGGAGGTCGACATCCAGACCTATTGGCGTCATACAATGAAGATGGGTAGGGATACTTTAGCAACTGACCCACATTCACCTGGGTATACCCATGGGTACTTCATACGGCTACAGTCTACTCAGTAGGGGGTTAGCAGGCCATTGCCCCAACATGTTAGAGGAGTATTTGACGAGGAGGCCACCTCACGGATATTGCTTAGACAGTTGATGGATCGATTTATCCAGGCAGAAGAGGCCCATGCAGCAGAAAGGGTTGGGGTTTGAGCTACACTTCAGTCATTGAGATCACAGTTGGCAGGGTTGGTAGAGAACATGGGACAACACCATGAGTACCTTACTAGAGTCAGCCTTCTAGATGCAAACGCGCATTCCAGGATTCTCATTCCCAGTTTTGAGATGTCTTTGCAGGGTATAATACAGAGCTTAGATTCGACAGGATTGACAGGGCCATCCGGATCTTCATCAGACCCGTCCCAGCCAAGACTGTCGCATTCAGGAGCAGCTTAAGGAGTCATTCTATTTAGGTGTTTTGAGATTTTCTTATGTTGTCTTTTAATTTCCTGTCTTGTCTAGGAGTACTGAGTCCTTTAGGTAGTGTCTGAGTCTGTCGTAGTGTAGTTGAGTCTGTCAGGTCTTTCATTATCGTACTTCCCATTGTATTTTAATATCGAAAAGTTTTTAAATGAAAAATCCCAAAAAAGTTTTATTTTTAGTTTATTTTCCATCACTTTTCCAGAACTACGCTTGGTCTCATTCATGAGGGACATAATATGTAGGCAACCAATATCGGGTTCAATCAAACCATTTTTGGTAAAAAAAAAAGAGTGATAAGCCAAAAGACGAGAGTGAGAAGAGAATGATAAGAGGTGATAGAAAAGGAAGAGAAACAAGGATTGAAATGAGCAAATTAGGATGCTTCCATATGACCCTGCGACCCTCAAAGCCATTTTAGAACCGCTAATTGTTGTTAGGTGCATTGCACGTAATGTGATATTATTATCTGATAAATGCCCTAACGCTAACATGGTGGTTTTTGTGTTGTTTTCCCTTGTTATATTTATTCCAACTTTAGGAAGGTGGTTAGTTTGTTGGCATCCTGGCAAGTCATCCATACAAAACCAGGTCAAAGCGCCAAACAGTCATGGCCAGCAAAGAAACAGACACAGAAGTTGTAGACCCACCAAGGGAAATTGTTGAGTCAGAATCGGAACTGCAAGATGAGGTCAGAAGGTTGAAACATCAGATGGCGGAAATGTATCAAGCTTGGATCAAGGGACACCCTCCACCCTCGTTCCTTACCAACTACACAGTAAACCCTGCTTTCATTCCACCACTCTCCTAATCCTAGATGCCTAATGCCATTGACCTTTCCCCACAACACGCACTGGGCTTTACCCTTACCACAACTACCTGACACTTCGGCCCAAAATTTTCATGCTCCACCAGCCAAAACAACCTCGTACCCTGCTTCGACATCTACTCCTATTTTTGTACCTCCTTCACAAGCTACCCTCCACCGATCCTCTAGTGAACCCGCATTCCAAGCCCTAGATACCCAATACTTTGCCCGGAACCCACTTTCAAAATTCCAGATCCTTACTCCTACACTCCTACACTCCTACACTCTAGTAAACCCGCATTCCAAGCCCTAGATACCCAATACTATGCCCGGAACCCACTTTCAAAATTCCAGATCCTTACTCCTACACTCCTCACTTTGAGCCTCATGTTGAAACTGAGAAACCACCCAAGAACACGGAACATGAGGAGATTTTCAGGAAGGTGAGAAGCTTGGAACAGTCGCTCATCAACATGCAGGGGTTGGGAAGCCAAGTGAGTGTAGCCTACAAAGATCTGTGTCTGTTCCCTAATGTCCAGTTACCTGCTGGATTCAAAATGCCCAAGTTCGACTTGTATGACGGGCACAGAGACCCGTGGCCCACTTAAGGGGATTTTGTAGCAAAATGAGAGGAGCCGGTGGGAAAAATGAGTTGTTAATGGCATACTTTTGCCAAAGTTTGAGTGGCACAGCATTATAGTAGTACACTCGTTAAGATCACAGTAGATGGTATACCTAGGATGATTTGGCCCAAGCATTCGCTCGTTATTTCCAGTACAACATCGAGATTGTTCTAGATCGTTTGTCTTTGACTAAGCTTGAGAAGAAGCCTAGTGAAAGTTTCAGAGAAGATGGTTTTCGATGGAGAGAACAAGCAGCAAACGTTAACCCCCCGATGGAGGAGAGCGAAATGGTGGAGTACTTTCTACAGGTTGTGGAGCCTACTTACTTCGGCCATATGCAAGACTTTCAAAGAAGTAGTAAAGATGG